AATGACAATTGGCTCCATGTGATCCTAGTCAGATGACTGACTAGGATCCCCTGGGAAGTATCCCAGCATGAGTATGAGCTCTCTTCATTCTAAAATACAAGTCCAATATATTAGGCATATAATTTACCTAAAAATCGTGGCCCACAGGGAGTTGAAATATGGTCACTTCAGGTTTAAACAGCCATTTTGCATTTTGAAAATGTGAGATATGGATTCAGCATCCTCAATAACCCCCCAAACCACTCTTGTATTGTCAAAATCGGCCAAACTGTTCTTTACATATTGTCCATAATGCTAATTATGCTAATTGTGCTAATTGCCAAACATATGCATGTTAGCATATATATGCTGGGGTCCCATACTTTACGTTTCCAACATAAAACTTTGAGGTACTCAACATTTCCGGGTTCACAATGGGGCTCTATTGGCTGGCTAGTAGACTATAGTCAGTATTGGACTTGCATAAATTGGGAATTGGGTCAGAAGTTATAATGCTTAAATATAATCAGGTTGTTGTTTAATGATAAATCTATGGCACTGTCCATGGTGATGAGGTAACACACCTCATTGTAATCCATATTTCTCACTGTTCTGCCCTCCCAGCCAAAGGACCCCCTCTGTAATGAACCACTGGAACCCGGTTTTATCTGTCTGATATACTATTTACTGTCACAGGATATAGCGAGAGTTTCAGCAAATATGCAAAAAAAAAAAATCTTTTTAAAAAGCACAAATTTCAATAATCTTCCATATCTGAGAATGCTGGACTGTGCTTTTTATCTTATCTCTCATACTTGCTTGAGCACTTGTCCCCTGAGCTGGTACACAAAATTAATATCATCACAAGATAAATCTGTTAGGCATTCATGCCTCTGTTCACTACTTTACGTATCTCTCCTTCTGCCATCACATCCTTTTCTTATACACCTCTACAAGTGATGAAGGTCATTGCCATAGTGGAATATACATTCATATATGTTACATTTAAAGGCATGATGTCTCTATGTTGATTTGATATAAAATTTAATCATCATATTTTATAGTTTACAGTGCTATATATTATACAGATGTTTCATTGCCATATAAAACCAATATTCTTTATTAATTGTAAGTAGCATGTGATGATGCTGTGCGGATATTGCAAAGGAAATTGTCGTAATGTCTTATGTAAATATTCTTTTCAGTTCATGCTTTTGCTTGTGAAAAATACGTTTTACCACCAGAAAAATGTGAATGACGATGAAGAATGAACAGAACCAGCAGGGGGCACTATTGGTCCTCCCTTAAAGCTTCTCTCTTCCTCCGTTGAGCTTCACCTTCTCCTTCCATTGGTGCAATCACCAACACCCCCAAACACACAATCCTACATACTGTAGGATAAAGGATTCATTATGATAGTGAAGACACCAGTACAAAATAGGTTTGTGCCGATTTTTTTTGTCTGAATAACAGCTTAAAAAACTATTTGTGCATTGCTGAATCTTAACATTGACTCCTAAAGACTAAGTTGTTCATATTAATATTAATAATACACAAGAAAGATAATCTGTGATTGAGTTAATTGTTGAGTCTCATTCTCAGGGCATCAAATACAGATGCTTCTGGTCTGACCCTGGGAATGAGAATAAACAATCAACTATCTTTCTCTTCTCTGATTGGTTGTTTTTGTCCAGGCCTGGTAGATTCTTGCCAGCTTCAGCAAATCTGACAAAAAGTGTTTGCTTAGAAAAGTATGGAGAATAAATAAAAAATATATAAAGAAATTAAAATTACTGACCAGTTTACCCTCATAGTACATGCTCTGTTGACATGCGATTGCACTAATGAATATTCCTTTGCTTTAGTTCTCTATCCTGTTCCAACCCAGTGTAACATCTACAGCACAGGTACTACCTCCTTCTATAATACTGGAGCGGCACTTCATCCAGTTCAGGCCATCATCTCTTGAAAGTAGTGGCTAAGAGCAGGGAACATAGAAACATCAGTAAAATAAATAGAATGGGGCAACGAGCATTCAGATGACTCTAAAACAAACCAAACACTAGCCCGTCTCATCATGTGACTGCTGGTGTTTGTTGCCCAGTTGGACCTATGGTATTGATAATGACATTGTTCCCAGATCTCAGAATTGATAAGAGATAATCCTGAGCCAAGACACTAAAACTAAAGTTTTAATAAACTGTAATTTTCCTGGGGATGGATGACAAGGGAAGATTTAAGGTGCCTGAAAAAGAAAATCAAACAAAGAAATAACAGTAAAACACAATTCACATTGTATTTCATTTTTGTGTATGCATTTAAAAATAAAAAATAAATATAATATAATAATAAAAGAAATCCAATCACAACACAGAAAACAAATTGAAGAGCTGTACTGCATTTCAGTGTTGTCCAGCAGAGGGCAGCACAGACCTTCTAATGATATTATCAAAGCTCTGTCATTAGGTTTCATGGAGAGGCGGAGCAGAGCTTTTTCTTTTTTTGAAAATGGAAATGTGCTGTAAATGCTAAGGTGAAACAATCAACTGTCCAATAGGAACCATGTCCAGAGCTTATTATTGCAGCCATGATAGACACTACTGTGCATTTGTGATTGTGAAATGTTGTGATTTGACTGGCATGAAAATTCTATGCCACAATGGAAAACAATCTGTTCAGTTATCAAAGACAAAAGATAAATAATTGAAGAAAAAAGTAAATTGCTTAAATAAAAAGGAAATACATGAAATAAATTTACATATACATACATTACAATGTATATTGTATTTTACTTTTTTCTTTGTTTGATTTGTTTTATCTTTAAATCTCCCACAGTAATGGATAGTCCTCCATGCAATCAGAATAACTGTAAACCACAACTATTGAAAATAACAAAATTTAATGATGTTCAGATTGGGGAACAGTAGATTGCCTCAGCAATTGATCCATCATTGTAGTTGTGCTTTCTTAACATTGCAGGCTAAAGGCTTGTACTGTACAAGCACAGTTGTCCCTGGTGCACAGAATACTTTCTGCCCCAACCGTCCCAGTTCGCCCTCACTCCAAACTTGACAAATACAGCCACTTGGTCAGTGGCCCTGCACTTCAAGCTCTGACACTGTAGGTATCTCTCTAGCATCATTCTTGATGCGTCCGTCTAATAGATTGTTTTTATGTTCAGTCAAGTCCAGTAACAAAAAATCCAAAATTCAACAATGACTTCTTTTGAGTAAATTAACTTACATAACATACTTAAAGCTGCAGTAGAAAGCTTTTTGTCATACTTGCTTCAACTTTTACTATATCATGACAGTAGTACATGAAACAGATCGTCTGTGATCTTTCTTGGCTCTGGTTGTTTTCGTCCAGGCCCAGTGGATTCTTGCAAATGCCATTAGGAGCACTAGGAGGAGCCAGAAGAATCAGATTTTTTCCACGGATTATCTGTCTCATGTACTACTTTCAGGATATAGTGAAAAAAATTTTTTCATGAAAATTACTTACTACAGCTTTAACTTACGTAACTTACGATCTTTTCCTAAACCTAAAAAATTTGTTTTTGTGCCTAAACCTAACCAAAGTGTGACCCTTTCACAACATTAACCACGTAAGCTTTATTTTGAAAATGTTTCAAACATTGCATATTTATTATTGCTAACTTGACCACGCAGCTCCGTACATCCAGAAATGACACTGGAGAGGTACTCTCATATTGTGAAGTGCAGGGCCACCAAGCGGCTGTATTTGATGAGTTGGGAGTGAGAACATGTCCACGGTGTCCACATTCCAACTGCAGTCGCACTTTAATTCAATTTAATGCAGACAATGTGGACTGTACTATGATGTGATGATTCGGTAGAAACGGTGCTGCACACCAATCAGACTAAATCTTTAATGCACGCTGTGAGCAGCAGCAAGTAGTATTATATTAGAGCTTGCAGTCCCGAACCCTTCTGTTGACATACAGTTCATGGCAAATTCCTTTGATTGACACACCCCTATTACAAAAGTCTTCTACCATTATGTCTTAGCACAATGTAAGTACTGTTGTCGTAAGTACTGTTGAACAATTTCCCCTAGGGGATTAATAAAGTATATCTTCTTCTTCTTCTTCTTCTTCTTCTTGTAAATTGACTTGGTGGCACCCACAGAGGTGTGTACATGCTGATCAGAGAGCTGTGGTCCATTTCCACTGGAGATGTGTGGGTCTACTTCCTTCCTAAGTCCTGCCTATTTTTACTCTGTGCTCCAATAACAGTTGAGTAAGCCTCAGTCAACTTCCTCCTTTCCTGTACTTAGATATGCTATGTGCTAGGCTGTATGTTGAAAAGACAACCACATTTTGAAGATGGTAACCAGCCAGTTAATCTACATAATCAACATATATAAAGATTCATGACATGACAGCTTTCAAGTGAAGACAAGCCATCTTGATTGCCTCCTGGTAGCTGACTGCAGTATAGGTCATATGACTGAAGCCTCCATGTTAGCAGGTGTAAACACAAACACAACACAAAGTAAAGTTCAAATCCATTTTTCCCAAAGATGTTGTTTAGGTAGTTCTTATCAGCACAATGAAGTTAAATTTTCAGATCAGTTTGGTTTTAACTAGTTATTTGAAGCTATAAAAAGGGGGTTTTACATCATTATTGAGTCCTGCTTGAGACTGAGTCTACCAGGCGTATGGGCGGGACCTCGATACAGCGCGCTAACCTTGATCACTGCTGTGCAGATTCTTGATCTGAATGGCAAAATTAAACAGTGGCCGTATCCAAGATATTATGGCTTCATGTACAGCGGGAGGAAGTGGAGTCCCGACATGCACCTTTAAAGATCTACATCAATTGTTAGCTAGCTAGTTAGCAAATTAGCTAGCATTTTGTTAGAGAGAAAAACAATAGCTAATTAACTCACAATCTAGATGAGCCTTAATTGTTATTCAAGGTGTGCAGCAGCATTTCACATACTACAGAATTTAACCAAAGATTGGTGTCTCTTGAACATAGCCACACAAACATATCTAAGTAAAGGAAAAGAGAAAGTTAGCTGTGGTTCCAAAAGGGGCGGGACTTAGGAAAGGTCCATTGGGTATGACTGGTAAAAGATAGGAACTGTACTGTGATGCCAAAGATGCCAAAGGGATTTGTAGTCCATTTCCTGTGGACATTTGAACAGAATATCTGCTTGGTGAAAGTGAGGACATGGTGGGATTTGTAGTCCAGTTCCACCCGGAGGTTATCCCAAATGGCCAGCGTCATCCAAAAATGGCCTGCAAAACCTGGACGTCATTTTTTTTCTCAGTATGTAAAGGTGAAGAATATTTCAATGAGTACACGATATACTACCATGCAACGACCACACACGGACACCCTGGGACGTGTGCACTGTTCAAATACACAGAGGAAACATCTAAAAGACAGCAGCTACAGGCTGGGATACACGGGTAGCATTTGGTAGCAACGGTGATTGGAAGTAATTATTATCAGGAGAAAATCTATGCCTGTGAACAGCTGCATCTTTTGCAGGCAAACCTGCAGAGTTATTGTTTTTGTTGATGTCAGTACAAAAATTGGTTAAACCGGGGATTATAGTTAAATAGAACGTAATGGAACTTCTTACTGACTAATATGGGTGTTTCCTATGAGAGATCCACATGTGGGGAAAAAATTCCTGTATATCACAACCAATATTACAACAGGCATTGCATCACTGACGTCACACTTTAACAATGATTTGTTGTCATTTCAGCAAATTCAAATTCCCTCTGACTCGTAATTCCTTTACAGATGAAATGCTTAAAACATTTGGTAAGGATTATCAGCTAAATTTGGTTGAGCCCCTCCTGCTTGTCCCGCACGTCCCAAACTGCCAACATAAGGCATTCTTGCCTAACTTGATTGCTCCGAAAAGTTACCCGTGTAACAGTGCCCCAAAACTTTAGACATCCCCCACCCCCACTTTTTGCCCACAGTAAAACATTATAACAAAGTTACATTTTTCATTTACAGCAACAATAAACCTCTTTTAACAAGCAACCTCTTTTCATAGTTCTTGATTGCCAAATGGGACGTTCTTTCACTCTTGGAAAGGGCTGATTCCCTTTGCAATTAAAACCTCCAATCTCCATTCTCCCTCCATCCATTCCTCCAGTCTTTCTTCCTGTGATTTGGTCATTCTCTAATTTTCTTTCCACATTTATGTTTCATATTTTCCTGCAAAAAAAACAAAAAATGTAACCATAGTCATCAATTAAACTGGGTTCAAAAAGATCAGAAGAAATACCAAATAACACATTTAACAATTCATTGGTTAAAGGACCAGTGTGTAAGATTCAGTGGTATCTAGCATTAAGGAGAAACTGCAGTGGCTGCAGAAAAAACTCAAAAGGATGTGTTTGGCTTGTCTGTTCTGGGCTGCTGTAGAAACATAGTGGTTCAAAATGGTGGACTCCATGGAAGGCTACCCGCGGCATCTGTAGATAAAAACAGATAATTCTAAGGTAGTGAAAACACAATGTGTCCTCTGTTCAGGTGATTATACACTAATGAAAACATACCTATGAATATTATATTCCATTTCTGACAATAGATCCTCCTTAATGTTACACACTGGACCTTTAAAGCACTCTGAAAATATACAGTAATTACACAGCTAAATAAGATTCCAGACCCAACTTTCTGGCAGTAAATTTTAAACTGCAAGACCAGTCTTAAACGTTTCTTGAAGTAGGCTTATTCACTTTTATTTTCCGGAGTGGGATTAGGAGATCAATCATGTTTATGAACTGAAAGTAGGCAAAAATGGCTAGCAACAATCAATACTGGTGGCAAAGAAAGTATCGGCTTTCGGCTTTTCTGTGTAAACACATTGCTGGCTAACGCAGATAAAACTGCCGCTGCTGCTGCTGAAAATGTCCTTGTTAAAAGGATAAAAAAGGGTTTAGGGCAAGATTCTGGCGATACAGGGGTTATGACTCAATATATTAGGATATATTGGGATACTTTAAGCTAGCAAATATATTTGCAATTTAATTTAAAAAAAAGAAAAAAAAAGGAAAAAGTCATAGTACCACCAAGAACCATCATAAGAATAAAATCTGGGTTAAAAAAAGGTGTTCGTCATCCTTATTATACTCGCTATATGAGCCTGCACTTCAGACTCTACACAAGACGTAGATCTCATTTCAGTGTTAGCATTATTAGGCTGCATCGTTATTTGGTTAGAGTATTCACAGGGGATACTGAGCCGAGGACAGTCCGTTTGGCAGGAAACTCTCAATATGTCAAGTGTAGCACAGTGCTGTGGGTGTGTTTACCTGTTAGAGCGGTTCAGGGTAGGCCTGTCTTGGGTCGTAGGTCATGTCGGGGATGTAGGGTTCGTGGAGGTCAGGGTCTAGCGGCAGGGTGTCCAGAGGCAGATCAGTGTAGCCATAGGGAGGGTAAGAAACATCTAACTCTGAGAGACAGGAGCAGAGACAAAGAGAACCTGATTAGTCAAGCATCTTTTACCGATGCAGAACATTCTGTAATCAAACACATTTTCCACAAAAATACAACCAAGTGTGAACCTATCGTGACATTACCTATTGGTTTGTGGAGCACATTTTCGAAGCCCTGAGTTCACCATTATGGTCATCGCCATGACAGTTTGTAGGAGCCAGCGGAAGTGACATACTGCAAGTTGGTTGTGCAGTTTTAACTAGTTCGTAGCAGGAAACACTGGTGGCTCGCCTGATCACTCACAATCTCATATTCCAGATTAACAGCACACTAAAATATGTTTCTGAAACAATTTTAGGAGAGAAACAGTCAACACAGTAACAGAATCTGATCAGCACTGCCTAGTTTGACAGTTTGATCTGAGTTTGGTGCGTTGAGCTGGACGGACTCACTCAGAATGACCTGTCAATCACAAGGTAGCCACGCCCTAAAGCATACCCTGCTTTATGGTCTATTTCACTCTAAATGGGACCATCATTTACTAAATGAACATCATGCTGTATGAAAGAAAACTAGAGATTGAGACCATAAACTCATTAAGAAAACTGTTTACAGGGAGCCCGGTTAGCTCAGTCGGCAGAGCTGGCGACCCATATACAAAGTTTCAGCAGCGGCCCGGGTTTGAATCCAACCTGCGGCCGTTTGCTGCGTGTCATCCCCTCTCTCTACCCCCCTTTCTAGTCGATCTACAGCTGTCTCTATCAAATAAAGGCATGAAAAGGCCAAAAAAAATAACTTAAAAAAAAAAAAAGAAAAGAAAACTGTTTACTGAGATAATCAACTCTGACACAGTGAGTGTGCCAGAGAGGTGTTGGTACATGTATCTTTTAAGGCTCACTGTTTAACCCTGCCATGATCCCATGCTACTTCATGAGGATCAAATTACATATTTTGTTATTATTTTGATGTGAGAGACCCCCTAGTGGCAGAAATATTGTAAGTTAAAGACCACACTGAGCTCTTCAGAAAGCTATGGGGGACGTAGTACTAGTAGTAGTAATAGTAGTAGTCCTTTATTATCTGTCTGTGCGGATTGTGGAGGTGTATGGAAGGGGCAACTGAGACACTAGGATACTGAATAAAACTGAGTTCATTTGGCTCTGACAACTGCACTATGAAATCAGCACCTTCAATTGCCCTCCATTATAACTACTGACAGCTGTGTGTGTGTGAGTGTGTGTGTAGGTGTGTCTGTGTGAGTGTGTGTGCACTACTGCAGTGGATTAAGCGCCTGGAAAAAAATGACACATGAAGATCCTGGCTTTAAGCAGCACCAATACCCTCCTTAATCACACACACAGGGATACACAAGGGATGAAGACTAAAACATTAATTAAAGATGGTGAGATGGAGGGATTTGCAAGTATGTACGCAGAGGAAATGAGAGAATAACAATTTAGTGAAGAGAGAGAGGAGAGGAGGTAGAGCTGTTTCTGCTTTTGTCACTTTTTTCTTTCCTTCACTTGCCCTTTCTTCCTCTCCACTCTATCCCTCCGCACTCACATCCTTTTTCAGTTCTCTCCTCCTCTCATTCATTATCTTCTTCCTATCCCTCCTTTATTGCATTTCCTCCTGCACTGTCCTCCATGGCATGTCCTGATTGTTTTGTTAATAAACAAAAGTTTTAAATTGTGTTTGGTGGTTTAGAGCCTTATAGTTATAAATAGCTGTAGGTCTGATGTATAAAGCAGTGCAAACACTGCATTATTATATACATGACATTTAGACATTAAGGATGCATTCTATGGTAAAGTCTGTACATAAAAAGCTTTTACATTTATTAACTGAAACCATCACCAACCACTTTAATTTGCATCCAAAGACAAGACAGATTTTTTGTAATACATATAAATATTTGGTTTTTTTGGCCCTGATCAGAGTCCTTGAAGTCAAAATTTAAGTGTTTTTACCACATATGTCTAGCACTATATGTCACCTATACTCCAATATCTGGCCCAGCAATGACCAAAAGGTTTTTTTTTTTTTTTTTTTGGGGGGGTATTTTCAGGTATTCTTAATAATATTTTACAGTTTGTCATTTCCTAAAAAACAGTAAAAAGTTGTTGATGACTCAACCTGCACTCGAGGGGTGTATACTAATTTTCTGTCCAATGAAACGCTTTCTCTCTTATGACACCGTTTCTGAGGGGCAATGTATTACCGATGTAATATACTGATGTAGTATTTATAGCTTCACTTATTACTGTACAAAAGCACAACTTTATTACTTTAATCAGTGATTTTGGTGAAATTGGATCATATTTTATGGAGAAAATATTTTCAGTTTACCCTCTGATCAATCAAACGAAAATCAATCTAACTGTAGTTGTATAGCACGTATTATACAATTAATAGATCAAATTAATTAAGAAAAATAAAAAAAATATAAATTAAAATAAAAAATAATAATAAAAATCAAAAAGAAAACCACAGCAGGCAAAAATAACTACTTACTAAAGAAGGAAATTGCTAATTAACTGCTGCTAACTGTATCTGCTGTTAGCAGGCAACAGAACCAGGCTCAGCAGCTGGACCAGGATCGAACACAGCCTCCAAGATCGTCAGGGAATAACATTACAGTACCAAGATCATTTACAGAGTTTCCTGATGAAAAGATTGATTGTAAGTAGTGGACCACTAACTGCTGTTAGCTCGGTCAACTGTGCAGCTAATTTACTGATTCAGCCCCAGGAAGCCAGGAGCCAAATCCGGGAAAAAAAAACCTCCTCGGTTCTGTACTCCCTTTCAGCTGCCTTTTTACAGGAACCCAAAAATATGAGGAGCACTCTGCTTTCTGTTTCACGTGGACTTTAACTTTAAGTATCTTCTGATAACTGAGTCCGATCTGATATTTATATACTTCTAAATATTGTTTAAATAAGTATCTGACACACTGAAACAGCTGTAGCTACCTAATCCGACACAATTCACCAACATTTTTCATGACCTTCTTGAGGCATCCTTGTGAGGCATGTCCAGGCATGTATTAAGTAAGAGATATATTCAAATTGTCTGCATAGAACAATAATGTGTGTCTGATATGAAAAAAAAGAAAGTCCAATTTTGACATTAAAATCCTATATTAAATTCACTACTATTCCATCTACCTCCATTTAATATTCCAGAATCCCTGAAAATGCAAATGTTGTTCACTTCTAAAGTTTTCCTGCTGGACACAAGATGTCTCCTCCTTCACTGTAAAGTCCATTCTCAGTGGATGTGCACTGGTGGCTTCAAGTTTCTACATCACACTGTACAAGTTCCATACTGGACCAGGATGGACTACCAAACTATTTGGAGTAAAACTCATCTGGGAAGAAAAACAAGAAGAAGAAGATAAGAAATACTGAATTTGTCAAAAAATAAGGCTGTATGATTGTTAAAAATGATTAAAATATACTTTATGCAGAGACAAAACTTTTTACACAATCCTCTTGCAGTTAGTAAGTTCATTATTTGGGTTAATTTTACAGTTTTTAAGTAAAACTAACGTTCTCTAAAGTAGCTTTAGTAATTTCAATTGACACTGACTTAATTTTGCAATATTTATTTGTACTGTGAAAACAAAATACCTAGTAAATAGTACTTGGGTTAGGGTTAGGGGGTTAGGGTTATGTTTCTGTAACTTAAAAAACTGAGTTTGGGTTACTTCAAATTTATGATGGAATCCATTTATTTATTAGTTGTTTTTCAGTTCAAATAACTTCTTCATTACAGTGTATAAAATATCCATAAAATATATCATTTAGTCAGGGGCCGTCAGTGTACTAAATGATAAAAAAGGGGTCCTTTAACGATAAAAGTTGGGAACCACACTCTAAAAAACGAATACACTGGCTCAACTTGGATTAAAAACTTTTGGTGTTAGTAAGTGATCAAATTCTTAAATATTCTTAATATATTGCTTTCCATTCTATTACTAATTCTATTTATAAACCCCATTAATCATTTCTTAGAGCATACTGATTTAATTAACAGTAGCTGTGATATGTTTTTCTGTCTATAATGATTGATCTGGACATGATTTTATATAATTATCAGGATTACCCTGTTCTCCTGATGTTGTTGTCAGTTCTCCATCCCTCCTGCTTTTATCCCTAACACCTTTCACACATCTGTCTTTGCTCCACATGATATCTCATCACACACACACACACACACACACACACACACACACACACCTATGGTGCAGCAGCTTCGTGGCCCTGGTCTATTCTGTCAGCAGCAGGGAGCCTACCTGCATGATTGCCTCATGATGTGTGTGTGTGAGGAGGCGTATAACAGGAATACTAATACTATCTGTGTGTGTATAGGCTTTATTTTGACATAGCATTATTTTGTTTGTTGCCGCAGTGACAACTCAGTTTCCCACAGGGATTTCTGTCTAATGAGCCCACGTGATTTGTTTGAGGCCCTCTCCACCTATTGTGAAGTTTTCAGAGGTGTGAGGAAGGAAGATGTGGGGGGCTTCGTATTTGATGGAGAACACTAAAGGGACCAAAAATAGTGTGTGTGTTTGGAGGATAGGAAGCCGGATATGCTATGTTCCAAAGATGCTTTTATTGAACGTTTTTATCTTCTATGGTTGAGAGAAAAAAATTTACAGTTTGGTAAAGTTAGCCTGTGAACTAATGAAATGATCATGAGCACAGTCAATGGGCAGATTGTATCAGCTGTAAAATTAAAGTAAATTTCATAAAATAAAACTTTGGCTTGTTTTGTGGTTAATGTGATACAACAGGGAAGGTGGGGTGATTTTACCATCACCTTTGCTGTATTGATTTTAAGCACATACAGTGTAAAAGTTAAGTTGATCTTATTTTAAAAAATCTAGGAAACCGATTACCTTGAACATATTACTAGTAGTATAAATAGTCTTACATTATGTTTGCTTTTTATCTACTTGTTAAGTTTACTTAAACTTTTGTTGTAGTTTAGTTAGGTTGTAGTTAGGTTGCTGCAACTTGCTCATATTAAGTGTCCAGTCTGCGGGTCATTTTTCACTTCTACAGCAGTAAATACATCTGAAGTTTTGGGGTAAATAAATTTTTCTGCCATCAGAATGATCCAATAGTCTCTAAAAGTAGAATAGGAACCAGAGCCTTCAGTTACCAAGCTCCTCTCCTGTGGAACCAGCTTCCAGTTGTGGTTCGGGAGGCAGACACCCTCACCACATTCAAGAGTAGGCTTAAGACATTCCTCTTTGATAAAGCTTATAGTTAGGGCTGGATCAGGTGAGTCCTGAACCATCCCTTAGTCATGCTGCTATAGGCCTAGACTATCGGGGGATTTCCCATGATGCACTGAGCTCCTCTCTTCCTCTCCCTCTCTTTGTGCACACATTCATGTCCCATTAATACATGTTACTAACTTCACTTCTTCCCCGGAGTTCTTGTGCTTTCTCATCTCGCAGGTTCTCATGGATCCTGGTGGAGCCTCCTGCTATGGTCCTGCTTGAGTCTCGCTGTTAATATTACTGATTTTATTACTATTATTGTTATTGTTTTTATTATAACATTTACTATTATTATTATTATTATTGTTGTTCATCGTCCCCAGGCAGACGGCAACCCACCTAGAGCCGAGGTCTGTCCTAGGTTTCTGCCTCTTAAAAGGAAGTTTTTCCTTGCCGCCGTTGCCAAGTGCTTGCTCATGGTCGGAACTGTTGGGTCTCTGTAAGTAATTTTATAAGGAGTTCGGTCTAGACCTACTCTATTTGAAAAGTGTCCTGAAATACCTTTTGTTATGAATTGGCGCTATGCAAATAAAATTGAATTGAATTGAAATAAATCACACTTCCTTTTGGGTGACACAAGTGCAGTAAAATTATATAGAATTAAAGCTGCAAGCAGCGTTGGGTGGGACCTCGCCCCCCGCGCAATTCAGGGCGTGCTGCGGCCGCGTCACGTGCCATCGTAACACGTGCGGACCACAACATGATCATTTCACGTAAATCAGCTCAAATTCGCCACACAGCACTTACTTCCTGTTGCCAGTAGGTGCCGCTATCACTTTATCTGAATATTATCACATAGACGTGTTCAGGGCGGAACTTTTATCAAACGTGAAGTTTCATTGAGATTGGACCACGTATGCTGAAGTTATGAGGACGTGTTCAGGGCGAGACTGTTACAGAATATATGAAGTTTATTGGAGATTGGAAATTGCACACTGAAGTTATGAGTAGTGTTTTATGGCGAATCGGCGGAATTTGACACGTCATCACGGGCATGCGGTTCTACTTAAAATCACGAATAGCACAACTTTTCATCTACAGTTTGTTTTGATTGTATTGACCAATTTTGAAATTGATCTGATATATTCCCTAGGAGTTTGTTCGTTCAAATACAAGACCAGGGATTTCAAAATGGCCAACTTTGAAGGCACACCACGGACACGCCCTTCAACATACAGTGACAAATAGCACAGCGTTTAATCAGCAACATCTTTTGACTGTACTGACCAAATTTGTCGAGCAGATAAAACCTGTAGGAGTAGTTAGTTAAAATAGAAGCCCTGAACTGCCGGAAATGGCATCACAGTTTGACATTCGATTCAAAATGGCCAACTTTGACAGCATGCCACGGACACTTCCTTCAACTTACAGGCACAAATACCACGGCGTTCATTCAGCAAAATTTTTTGACTGTACTGACCAATTGTGAAGCAGATCCGATAAATTCCCTAGGAGGGGTTTAATCAAATACAAGGCGAAAATTCACAGAAAATGACCAAGGAATTCAAATGGCCAACTTTGACGGCACACCACGGACACACCCTTCAACATACAGCCACAAAAAGCATGGCGTTCATTCAGCAATATTTCTTGACTGTACTGACCAATTTTGAAGCAGATCCAATATATTCCCTAGGAGGAGTTCGTTCAAATACAAGGCAAAAAAGTGAAAATGACAAACAAAATGGCTGCCCAGAGTAAAAATGAAAATCAAAATAGATGACTTCCTGTGGGTTTTGGAGCATGGGTCCAAGAGGGTACATATCGGTGAAACGTGGCATCGGGGCTGCTTTTTTGAATTATTGTAGGGGGCACTACAAACACGACAAACACGATTTTTGGTATGTGAGCTTCAGGCAACAGTCTACACGTGCCCTGTGAATTTAGTATTCATAACTATTACGGTCTTTGCACAGTGATTTACCATGACACCAGAGTGCCACCCAGTGGCGGATTGTTGACACATTTTTTAGCGAGCCTCAGGGAGTCATCGTACCAAGTTTCGTTTTAATCATACATGCCGATGTGGAGATATAAACTTCTTCATTATAAAGAGCACCACCTTGTGGCCATGGCCTGAAATTGTGCACAAGGCCTAATGGACCCATAAGGAACTATTGACCCAAGGTTGGTGTCAATCAGACATAGCAATGTGGAGAAATGCCCCACTTACTTTATTGATGAAAAATCAACAGTAAGTGCTAATTTTATAACATGCTTATTTTTTGAAATATCAAAGTACTTTAAATCACTTTTTTTGCCAGGACGGTCTCCAGATGCTACGTGAAAAGTTTCGTGCAAATCAGACAAAAGCGCATGGATGGAACACGAAAATGTAGTTTTTGGACATTTCACGCTCTAGTGAAAAAAAAATCCAGGCAGAAGTGGGCGTGGCCTATATAGGGAGATGCAGCTCCATTTGCCGAACGTGTGGATATGGGTTTTTTGAATGTGAGACAAATGATGCGGGAGTTATTAGCCCGAACCTACTTTTCTTAATAGTAGCGCCACCTAGGGGCCAAGTCGAATGTGATGCATAGAATATCTAATCTTTCACCAGGCCTGACCACTTAAAATAAAATGCCAAATAAAATGAGTCTGGATTATACATTCAGGGGGTCAGAAATTCAGTGAAAGGGGCTTAATAATAATCATAAACTGAGCAATTACAATAGGGTCCTCCCAGTGCTGACACTGGCTTGGTCCCTGATAAACATTCTAAAAACAATAGGGACCTTCCAGTTGATACTGGCTCGGTCCCTAATAATAATAAACAGACCAATTGCAATAGGAACCTTCCAGCGGTCGCTGGCTTGGTCCCTAATAAACATACCAAAAACAATAGTGACCTTCCAGTTGATACTGGCTTGGTCCCTAAAAATAGGTCTGTGATACTGTGTGTAGAATTTAGTGTCATCTAATGGTGAACTGAATACCGCTTGCGCCTGTATTTGACAACCTGGGAATGAGGATGGGCGGGAGGAAGTGTGTAGGGAAACTCATAAAAAATTTATAGGGCCCCATCTACAGCCAGTATTTGGTTTGTCCGTTCTGGGCTACTGTAGAAACGTGGTGGTTCAACACTCCATGGAAGAGGACCTTCTCCCTTTGTAGATAAAAATGTCTCATTCTAAGGTAACAAAAATACTCAATTCTTATTTTCAGTTGATTATACACTAATGAAAACATACCTATGAATATTATATTCCATTTCTGACAATAGATCCTCCTAAATGTTACACACTGGACTTTTAACTGTTCAAGATAGGGCCCCACTACAGGCAGAAATGTTTAATCTGTGTAGTTATTTTAAAACAATGTTGTAGGAGTATTAGGGCTGTCGCGGTAACTACAATAATGAAAGATTATTTAGAAACGCAGAGGACATCACACAGTATTTGTTTTTCACAACGAGAAAGCAACAACCAAAAAAGTGATGATAATATTGCATACTGTGTTACTTAGCCACCCTAAATCACTAGTCCTAGGGAGTAGTTACATGTAAATCAAATTACTCACCATCAGCTAGGTATGTTGGCTCCAGAGGAACCGCAGTATGGGCCTGTAGAGAAGAGACAGAGATGAACAAATGATCAGTGATTTAGTACACAGCTATGGAAACATTGTTTCTGTCTAAAACAAACAGGCCAATTAAGTGTTCATCACTGGGGAGACGGTGGAGGTGGAGACACACATAGAGATATAGGACAGTTTGGTACTAATCTGTGTGTTTTTGCCACATAACTCCAAAGATTATATACTTTATTTAGATTATTAAAATGTTATTTTTTTCATAAAAATAAATAATATTTTTTATTATTGGAATTATTGAGTATATACTAGTTTAGGCTTTGGCGTCAACTCTAACATCAGCCCTGTAAAGCTTATTTAATTTAGATTCTTTGAAGGACAGGTTGGAGGCCTGTTGTGTTAAGCTATGTATTAGCATTCATATCTCTCACAAACACTTGTTTATTGGTCTGAAGGAACACTTGTAGTCAGCATAAGAAAGGATGCACAACAGATGGATGAGGCGGTATGTCGAAGAGTGTGTGTGTGTGTGTGTGTGTGTGTGTGTGTGTGTGTGTGTGTGTGTGTGTGTGCATGTGAGAGAGAGAGAGAATAGAAAGAGAGAAGGGACCTACAGACAGCAAGACAAAGCTACAGGGAGCAACATGAGATTCTGCGTGATGTGCGGTAAGACAAAGACAATAGTGTGCTTGTGTGTGAGAGTAGATACTGTAAATATATGAGATCTCATTTGCAGACACGTGTGTGTGTTCTATTTGCTGCTCTATTTGAAAAGTGTCCTGAAATAACTTATGTTATAATTGGCGCTATACAAATAAAATTGAATTGAATTGAATTGAATAGTCTGTCAAGTGCACATGGACAGATTTTTCTGGAATTAGCAGGTTGGAAATTGGTCTGTAGTTGATTAAGGTAGTAAATATCAGATTACACACTTTCTGTGCACTCTTGTATAATTATGAAAACACATTATATTGTGATCTAGTCTGTATAACAATTAGAAGTTGAATTTTTGTGTCATGGTAACGCCTCTACACAGGATTCTCACCATTTCCCAAGCAGCAGGATCGTGTTTGAAGAGTGAGTGTGTGAGCTCCACTGAAACTCTCTTCCTGTAGTCTGAACTCTTGTCCTCCGAAATTCGGAACAGCACCGCTGCAGCATAGGTGGCTGCAAGTAGATGGGAACATCACTTAAACAGACTCAAGGAAACACCCAAAACACGAATAGTCAGTTCCAAGAATCTGCAATTATGTGATCACAAGAATGAACACAAATTTAACTTCAACTTGTAATTATGTAATGGATAAGATCAGTGACTGCTTAAACAACTAAGAGTGCCAGTCAAAGCTCAAACAATGGAAATGTGACATTTCTGTTTGTTTTATGTTTTATTTGCGTAAGATTACTGTATCCTCATCACTGCTATAACACTACAAATCTGATGTTTTTGTCTGCTGCTACTTTTATGCTTCATGAATTTCATGATTTGTTTGCTAAGTGTGCTTCCACTGAACTGTCACATTTTTGTTTTTACTGATAGATCAACTTTTCAAATTTAAAGCGAATTTCGACTTATTTGGCAAAAGCAAATATGAATGAATGCTTGTTTCAATCCATAATATAAGCAGTAGGTGGAACCAGTTCTGCAGTTGGAAAACAAGAAGAGCACACAATAAGATAAAGTAATTAAAAGAGCGCTATTTGAACTTCAAACCTGGAAAAACAATATAGAAAACAGGATAGAAATATGAAATTATTGTTAGTTTCATGTACGAGGAGTTGTGTGAGGAAATTTCATCAGATCTGTGTGGAGTGATAATGGATTTATTATAGAGCTATGGGAGTGATGAGGAGACTGTTGTTGTCGTTGTGAGTTAAATGTTCACTTTGTCAGAAATTATGTTGAAAAATAGTTTCCATATCCCATTAAGAGCATTAATGCAAAAACTACCTAAAGCGAACGTAAAAACCACAGTTCACAGTACTAACATACATTGGTCTGAAACATCACATATTGGGCAGTATCTAGCTGGTAGTTGAGATGTGCCTCTGAAGCAGAAAAGGAGAGGGAGGCATACCAATTCCCTCGTTATTGGAGTGCAGCAGCTCCATGAGGGGCGCCGACGCTCCCTCTGCATCGATGAGCTCTGCAGACTGCTTGTCCAGGGCCAGCTCGCACAGGACGCCTGCTGATACTCGCTTCACGTTCTCCACATATGAGTACAGCAGCTGGACAGACACACACACACACACACACACACACACACACATAACTCTGTGATCTTAACAGCACAGGTTAGTTGCGGAAAAAACTTTGGTACCACCTGTCTTGGTCTGCACCTCTTCATTTTCAGGTCTGTATACTGGGATAATATGGTACATGTAGGTAATTTCATATCCAGATAATGATAAATATCATGATAGAGCACATTATCTGTAAATTCAATCAATAGTTTGTATAAAATGAGCATGTGAAGGTACATTTCTTTTTACTTTATACTAGACAAACAAAAGGTACTTTTTTACTTTTTTGAGCACTCAACTGTACTTTTGTGGCTCTCATCTGTAAACTCTCTCCGCGGTCTTTGACATGATTCCTGCGTAGGTGGTAATAGAGGTTAGTACGCTTTGAGTCTGAATCTCTCTGTTACTTTACATTATTGTGGCACAGAAAATAAATTGTCTTATTTCCCTTCTCCTTGGACTTGTGATTCAATTCATATATTACTATTACTATAATCACTATGTCTATTTCTAACAAATTATTTTTAAAATTAATTTAAATGAATGTGTTGAATTTGACAGCATTTGACATGAAATTGGGGTAACAGCTGGCTGTAGTCACCTGTCCAGGTGAATACATACAACATATAGGGTAAAGTAGCCACAGCATATCTTACTGATTCTATCTAGCTGATTTATGAACTCCATGCTTTATTTTATCAGTAAATACTTGTAGCAGCAGCCTGAGCAGCACAGACACACACAGGCTGGTGAACCACAGGCTCTTAGATGAGCTCTGATGCCTCAGTGAAACATCTGACTGTAAATTCGTGAGCCGATTAAAAACAAAATAGAAACAGATGATTTAGAGATTTATAAATTGTAAACCGAGGCTGAGTCCTTGCTGCAGCAGCCCAGGGTTTGAATCCGACCTGTGGCCCTTTGCTGCGTGTCATCCCCTCTCTCTGCCCCCCTTTCCTGTCTGTCTTAAGCTGTCACTATCATAAAGGCAATAAAAGCCCCCAAAAAAGAAGAAAACGTCCTGTTTTGGGCAAGACCCATGCAAACGCAGGGCAACATTGCAAACTCCACGCAGAAAGACCATGTCGGGCATGGTCTTTCTGCGTGGAGTTTGCAATGTTGCCCTGAGAACTGAACCCAGGACCAAATGTATGCAAATGTTTTCTGAATTAAGTAAACTGAAGTCAAGCTAGTCATGCTGACTTGTGCATAGCAGAGCAAGTGCACACATAAATAACTGGTCATACTGGTTGTCCGTTCCTACCAAAGTTAAAACCAAACCTCTGCCCCCGGTATAAGATCACAAAGTCATGCAAGAATCCATCCTGCCAGGAGTCGATCTATGTGTTTGTAGCCAAACTACAGTGGAACCAGACCAATCAGTGTCCTCTGATGAAGGTCATTGATCTGATTGGTTGCAGTTGCCTGCCCTTTTACAAACTAATGTCCAATTACCAATGTCAGCTGTAGTTTGTACAGCCTGATATCTTTATGTCATATCGTACATGTGAGAGTACCTGTACAAACAGTGGTATGGTTTGCATGCTGGCGATTTCTCCTCTGTTTATTGGGTCTCTGGCCAGAATGTGAAGTGCTCCTGTGCAGCCCTCTACTATTTCCTCCATACGAACACCATCCTGAGAACAGACACAGGCAGAGAGACATCAAAGAAAGTTTTTTTCATCTGCTGATTTCTGACAATGGTTTATAAAGCTCAGCAGTTTGAAATTCCTCTTTTTTACTCTTTAGTAACAGTTTGGTGAAGGAAACTTTATGCCAAATGGAGTGAAATACCTTATATAGCAACTTGGGGGTGCTGATTATGCTAAAAATAAAATGTCACGTGACAGTCATCAGCTTCAAACATGCAAATTAGAGACTATTTATCTATGTGCAGTTAATAATCAATAATAATCACTTACAAATCAGCATGTCCAGATTACTAGACCGGCTATAAATCTCTGTTATGACAGACTAGATAAGATAGATAAGATAGATTTTTAAAGTTGAGTGAGTATTAGTATCATAAGAGTAAAAAGTGTCAATATCCGTACTCGTAAATATAATTTCAATGTAAAAACCTTCTTCGGTAACATAGTTCTCTTACTCTGGGCGGCTGTGGCTCAGGGGCAGAGCGGGTCGTCCCCTAATCAGAAGGTTGTTCGTTCGATCCCCGGCTCCTCCTGCCACATGTATCCTAAGTATTCTTGAGCAAGATACTGAACCCCAAATTGTGCATCACTGAGTGAACGTGTGTGAAAGGGTGAATGTGGCACGTAGTGTAAAAAGCATGGGTGGTTGGAAGACTAGAAAGGCACCATACAACTACACATCCATTTACCATTTACTCTTGTCATCAAAAACGTTGCTCTAAAGCTCATTTCTGACGCTGTTCTGTAAATAGTTTTAAACTTCTGATCAATCCATATCAAGTTCAGGTTTAAATTAACACTTTCTTTGTTGATGACATCACTGTATCAGTGTTTGGGAATGGGTGAATGTGGCATGTAAAGTACAGTCCATTTACCATTTTGATCAAATTGCCATTTTTTAGACATAAATAGAGGTGATATCAGGAAACAAATACCTTGGTGATCTCAGTGGTGGGTACAGCCATGCCCATTTCAGACCTTGAGTTTGTTCTAAGCGAGGCAAATGCATCACCACCAACATTCAGATTCAGTTCAGTAGGTATGTTGCTAGAGCAAACTGTTCAGCTCTATGCAAAACTAGGTCTAAACAGTACAGGCAAGCTTTATAAGGTTAGTATCATCAGCATCATATCTGAAATCTTGTTTGTGTGGCATTCTATTACTTCCTGTTGCTAACCAGGAAGTACAAAAACACAGCTGAGCTGACAATTGAATGTTGTTGCATCAGTAATGGGCTCTCCAGTGCTAAGAGCTAATAATTAAGACAGTGACAAGATGATTCAGTCAAGCTTTAAGATTTCGTGTTGTAACTATGTGTGTGTGTGTGTGTGTGTGTGTGTGTGTGTGTGTGTGTGTGTGTGTGTGTGTATGTGTATGTGTGTGCATGAGTGCATGATCCAGACCTGGTATGTCTGCTGTGCAGAGGAGGCGTGTCTCTGGGTGTCCTGGTGAGCCTTCAGCAGCAGGTTGACCAATCGTGGAATAGCACCAGCCTCCCTTAGTGGCGCCTGATTGGCCGGACACAGCGCCAGGTTCCGGATCAGACCAACTGTAGCCTGAGGAGAGGACAGAGATCAAAGATCTTTCTCTATGTGGGTCAATTTTACATGTGGAGCCTCCAAATGGCAATGCCAGTTCCTGTTTGGAGCTTGAGCATGCTCTGCACTCTTGTTTACCAAGCAGTGTGTGATGCTTCATATCAAAGGAAACCACAGGGATGAGAGGGAAAAGATCTAACAGTTTTCAGTAGGTGGAGCGCTCGCTCACTGCTGTGGAGACAGCTGGGCTGACTCCAAGCATCCGGACATCCACATCAGCTCACTGCTGTGTCCCTGCTACACCCACAAAGTGCTCAGAAAAGCTCTGATTTTACTTTTAAAGCACTACATGCACAGTCTGCAGACATGAAAAACAAGTTGGGAAAGTTGCCCAAAATATAAACAAGTTGGAAATGCAGGGAAATTTGTGAAGGTTTTTTAAAAATCTCCGAAGTCCAAACATTCTCATGACCTCAGCAAGTGTTCCCAACATCTGAAATCAAATGACCTCACATCCTGACCATCAACATATAAAAGATGGAGGTCGTGACATTTCACCATTTGAAGCTAGAGTCTAGCATTGCAAAAGGCTCAGCTATCATGAAACCCCCTTTCATTCAACTCAATTCAATTCAATTTTATTTGTATAGCGCCAATTCATAACAGAAGTTATCTCAAGACAGTTTTCGAATAGAGCAGGTCTAGACCGAACTCCTTATAACATTTACAGAGACCCAACAGTTCCCACCATGAGCAAGCACTTGGCGACGGCGGCAAGGATAAGCTTCCTTTAAGAGGCAGAATTCTCGGACAGACACCGGCTCGACCAGTTGGGGTGAGAGAGAGAGAGAGCAGAGGTAATGACAGAAGGACAAAGACAGAAACAAAGATGCACAGCAACAACAGTAGCAACAACTACACTAATAGTAGTGACTGATGATAAAGAACATGAAGAAGATGATGACGACGATGACAACAACGATGGGGGACAATGAGCAGTGATTATAGTAATAATAGTATATGTAGTAATAACAATCGTAGTAATAATAATAATAATAACAATAATATCAGTGATATTATCGGGCTTGATCGACAGGTATAACTGGGTATCATCTGTATAACAGTGAAAGTTAATGGAGTGATTCCTAATAATATTGCCTAAGGGAAAGTTAATAGAATTGGTCCAAGTATAGAACCTTGTGGAACTCCATGATATAACTTTAGTATTTATGGAGGATTCATTGTTAACGTGTACAAACTAGGGATGATCTGATAAGTATGACTTAAACCAGCTTAGTGCGGTTCCTTTAGAGCCAATTTGATGCTCAAGTCTCTGTAAAAGAATATTATGTTCAATGGTGTCCAGTGTTGGGAGTAACGGCGTTTAAGTGTTTCCCATCGTTGCAACGCCGTTACCGTTACTGAGAATGTAAAGTGGCGCCTTACTACAATGTGGTTGAATGAAGCGCAGCGGTGTCAGGCTTTCTGACAGCCACACATCAGCTGCCGGGAGAGAGCAGGGGTGGTGATGATGACACCGTTGCAAATGCGATAATGATTGGCTGGGTGGGCGGATGCACGCTGTCTCACTGCACGCTCTAACTACTACTGTAAACACAAGACAGAGACAATGGTGATGAGCCAGGGAAATTCAAAGGTAGCGTTTTCAAACTGGAAGTACCGACACTACTTCTCGCTTACTGAAGTTAAAGACAAGAATGTTTATGTAACATGCACTGTGCCCAGGAAAAAAGACTTTATCCACGTCTGCCTCAAGCAACTCAAATCTTATGAAGCACCTCACAGCAACACATGCTAACATGCCACTTGTTGCTGCTGCTAACCCAACCTCAAGCCATGGTCCTGCTAGATTGCCATTACCAATACTGTTGTTGCTGTGCACCTGTCTGTCTGTTTCCTCTCCTCTCTCTCTCTCTCTCTCTCTCTCTCTCTCTCACCCCAACTGGTCGAGACAGACGACCACCCACCTAGAGCCGAAGGATCTGTCCTAGGTTTCTGCCTTTTAACAGGCAGTTTTTCCTTGCCCCCGTCGCTTGTTGAGTTTTGAAAGGTTACAAAAATTGTCCTCCCAAGTCATATGTCAGAGTGGGTGGAAGGGGTTTCGGATGCTTTTTGAGAATTCAACAAGCACTTTGTTTGAAGAAAACTGATGCTTTAGCTGGCAACAGTCCTTTTCCACTATTGTGCACAGTTTGTGGTGTGGTGTGTTGACGACCACCCACCTAGAACCAAAGGGTCTGTCCTAGGTTTCTTCCTCTTAAAAGGCAGTTTTTCCTTGCCCCCGTCGCCAAGTGCTTGCTCATGGTGGTACTGTTGGGTCTCTGTAAATGTTATAAAGAGTTCGGTCTAGACCTGCTCTATTTGAAAAGTGTCCGGAGATAACTTCTGTTATGAATTGGCGCTATACAAATAAAATTGAATTGAATTGAATTGAACATTTGGATCCTAGTTTTTGATCATATTTGTGATATGATGTTTACATGAAACATGAGAAACCTAGTTATTCGTCCCCCTGTTTACTTGACTCTGACAGCATCCAGGTTTCTGATCATCTGTGCTGTCATGTCTTGATTCATCACCATCTCAGCCTTTATTTCCTACAAAGAATGTTCAAAAACCTGAATGAGGTGTTAAATTCCTCAGTTCTAGTGCACATGTACTGTAAAGGCATGATGTTGAAATATTGCTTTTCATGAACACTTTTTAAAAAGCAAAAGAGTGGAATGCAAATCAGATGCCAGTCCAGTAAGTTTCCTCTGGCAACAAGTCTGGTAACGCCATCTCTACAGTGCCTTCCAGCTCTGAAAATGGTCTATAAACTAATGCCTAAATTAGACCTAAGAGTAGGCTTAAGACGTTCCTCTTTGATAAAGCTTATAGTTAGGGCTGGATCAGGTGAGTCCTCAACCATTCCTTAGTTATGCTGCTATAGGCCTAGACTATTGGGGGATTTCTCATGATGCACTGAGCTCCTCTCTTCCTCTCTCTTTCTGCACTCATTCATGTCCCACTAATACATGTTACTAACTTCACTTCTTCCCTGGAGTTCTTGTGCTTTCTCGTCTCGCAGGTTCTCATGGATCCTGTGGAGCCTCCTGCCATGGTCCTGCTTGACTGCCATTGCTAATATCACTAATATTATTGTTATTATTGTTATTATTATTGTTATTATTATTAATAATAATATTATTATTACTAGTTACTATTATTACTATTGTCACTACTCATTGTCCCCCATCGTTTCTGTTGTCGTTGTCATCATCTTCTTCATGTTCATCATCATCAGTCACTACTATTGGTGTAGTTGTTGCTACTGTTGTTGCTGTCCACTTGTCTGTCTGTCTGTCTGTCTGTCTGTCTGTCTGTCTCTCCTCTCTATCTCTCTCTCTCTCTCTCTCAATTAAATTCAATTCAAATGGCTTTATTGGCATGACGTAACACTGTACATATTGCCAAAGCAAGCGTTTGGAATAAAAAATAATAATAGTAACAATAAAGGAAAACAATATTTACAATAAATTAATTATAATCTATACTGTTGGTAATACTGTAACTATGATTGACTTAATCACAATCACAGTCACAATCAATCAATCTCAGTCAATAAGTAATTAATTACAATGAATCAATCAATCAGTTGAGTTGTGTTAACTAAAAATTTCATTAAAACAGTAGTAAAGTAACAGGTTACAGTTAAAACAAGAAGTCTGTTGTCAATATAACAGAAATAAATTATTAAATATAATATATAATATATATAATATTAAAATATATTAAAATTAAAATAAAATAGATAGATAAAACTAAACGTGTGTGTGTGTGTGTGTGTGTGTGTGTGTATTAAAAAACAACAAAAAAACAAAAAAACAACAACAACAACTAAAACAATCAATTATTTTATACATTTATCTAAATTTCCACTGGTTGTCCTCAGTTCATGGCATGAGGAGACATATTTTGCTGCAATAATTTGACTTTTTGGCATTTCTCCCAGTAAATAGGGGAGTTTATGTGTGTCTGATAAAATTTTGAATTCGGGGTATATTTGGGAAATGTTTGCAAATTTGTTTTTCTCTTAAAGTTTTGAATTTAGGGCATGAGATTAGAAAGTGCAGCTCTGTCTCTACCTGTCCTCTGTCACACTGAGAGCAGAGTCTCTCCTCTTCTGGTAGCCAGTTCTGTCTGCGGTGACCCTTGTCTATGGCCAGGCTGTGTTCACTCAGTCTGTACATTGTCAACATTCTTCTTAATTTAGGACATTTTATTGTGGTCAGGTAATTTGCCAGTTTGAATTCTCTTTTTAGGGTCAGATAACATTGTAATTTATTTTGTGTTTTGGTCGTTTCTTTCCAGTATTCAATATATTTTTCTTTTGCTTGTTGATAATTTGGTTTGGTTTGGTCTGATTGAGTTGGTGTTACTGTCCTGAGGCTGTTGGGGACATGTTACTGCAGAGAGCCTCAGGACCAGCTGGCTGAGGGGACTCTTCTCTGGTTTCAGCTCCTGCTATGTTAGGGCTTTGTGATGGTATGTCTGGGGGTGAACTGATTTTAAGTGATTGTAAAATTTAATTGATCTTACCTGCATTTTTAGTAGGAGGGGGTATTGGCCGAGCTCCGCTCTGCACAGATTATTTGGTGTTTTTCTCTGCACATGCAGGATGCTCTTACAGAACTCAGTGTGGAAAGATTCTATGATTGTTTTGTCCCATTTGTCAAATTCATTATTTAGTTTTGGTCCCCAAAACTGCCATATAGAATTATTGGTTCTAGTACAAATTGGAAAATTTTAAGCCAGATTTCGATTGGAATAGAGATTTTAATGTTTCTCTTTAATGCATAGAAAGCTCTCCTTGCTTTGTCCCTCAGATCTTTCAAAGCCATGTTGAGGTTTCCTGTGTATGTAATGTTGAGGCCAAGGTAAGTGTAGTTTTTTGTATGTTGTAATTTAGTGGTGTCTAAATAGAAATTGTGTGTAACCTGATTTCTGTATAGATC